GAATGAACTTGGGGTGGTGGCGGCTTTTCACTGAAGGCAGTGTTTGGGAGATAAGCCCATGTTTTGTACTCAGCTGTGAATCATTCATTCACGTTGCTGTCAAGTGCTGCAGTCAGTAATGTGAGTGTGCCCCAGTTTTATATTCTGCTGTTGATGGACATTTAGGCAGTTTTATTTTGGGCTATTGTAATGGATAATGCTGCTCTGAGTATTTCATAGGTGTCTTTTAAGTTGGACGACTTTTTCCATTGGAAGCTATCCTGAGATCCCTTGGCTGTGTGATGAGCACATGCACTTTCTGTTGGGTCCATGGCTCCCAGATGTGTGAACATCAGCTCTCACAGGTGCAGCCCCTTGGAGTTCAGGGGCGCACTCTGTTGGCCATGGCGTTTTCTCTCTGATGGTAGGTTTTCCAGTGGGTGTACTGCGGTTTAACCTGAGTTTCCCTCATGACCAAGGTGGGGAGGATCTCCTGGGCTCATGGCCGTTCAGCACAGAGTCTGAGAGGGCTCTCCAGCGGCTCCAGCAGGTGCTCACCTTCTCCTCGCTGTTGGGCCCCAGCCAGACCTCCACATGTCCTTCTGGGTTTTGCTTTTACTTTCCTGCCCACAAAGTGGAAGCTATGATTTTTACAAAGAGCCCTAAGAGGGACGTGGCTACCCCAGTGTCAGGCACACGTAAACACTTGCCTTTTAACGAGGAACTCAACACTGATCTCTCTTACTGCTGCCTAACTGGCAGCCTCATTAAGGATTTAAAACAGTCCTGCAGTGGGGGATGGGTGAAGGTGGTCAAAGGGCACGTACTTCAGTCAGAGATGAGTAAGTTCTGAGGAGCTAACGTGCAGCACAGGGACTAGTTTAAGCACTGTTGTACCTTGGAAAGTGGCTAAGAGAGTAGATCTGAAAAGTTCTCACCACACAGAAATGTCTAAGTGTGTGAGGTGGTGAATGTTAGCCTTCCTGTGCTCATTCTGCAGTCTACACACGTCAGACCAACGCATTGTGCACCGAACCCGTACTGTTACGTCTCCATTATGTTCCCACAAAGTGGATAAAACCCCAGAATCCTTGGCGTTATTTCCCTTGTGTTTATAGGTAAAACAAAAGTGATGTTTTTGTTCATTCATTAGTCTCCAAAGTGGGTGTGTGCACCTCAGAGAGTGAGGTGACCTTTTAGAGTTTAGGGAGAAAATCTGCTTCTGGTTACTTCCTCATTGAGAAATGTTCTCTTGTATGGATGTTACCCCACCAGTGGATCCATCCCGTTGCTGGATACCTGGGCAGTTTCCAGTTTGGACATTAGTGAGTTGTGCAGCTATGAACACGCATTAGCGAGATGGTGTGTTCCTTGTGGCCAGACACTTAGGTTAAGAGTGGTGGGCTATACCAAGAAGGTGACACACTGCCTGCAGCCCCACTATGCCGCGCCCGTGCCAGCGTTGCGGGGGGGGGCGCAGGTCTCCAGCATCCTTGTCACACGTGGCTATGTCATTCTTTTCATACCAGCCACTCTGTGGACGTGTCCCGGTGCCTCACTGTGGTTTTGGTTTTGTTTCACGGTGACTAATGATGCTGAACATCTTATCAGGTGCTAGTTCACCATTCCTGTACCCTCCTCCGTGGGGGCCTGCGACCATTTTTAAGGGGTTGTTTGTGTCTGTATTGAATTTTAAGAGATCTTCGTATACCCTGGACAGCAGTCACCTGTGACGTTTAAGCCTCGTGAGCACTTCCCGTCCATTCCCTGCCTCTTCATTTCTGATGGAGTGGTGTTCACATGCTGACTCCTGCTTAGAGAATATAGGGACCTGGAGGCTCCTGCTCTCCTGCATTAGCGCAAGGAAGAGGGGCAGGCCAGGCACCGCCGGGGGGGGACCTCGTCTAGTTCAGTCTGGGTAAGGTGCGTGTTTCTTGGAGGGCTGTTTGTTTCACGTGATGTCCCACCTCAGAGGAGCAGCTACTTTTTGTTGAGCACCTGCTGTAGGATCAGGGCTCCTGTCCGCTGCCACCATTGGTGAGCCAGCCTGAGTGCCCACCTATCTACAGCAGGAACCATGGTGTGGCAGGTGGTGATCAGATGAGAGAGGCCTGATTCCCTCGGCTAGTGGAAATCTTCGTCAGTCTGGGACAGGTCTTGAGTGACTGGAAATTACAGCAGGAAGTCTGCTGGGAGCACCAGCGCCGCCATCATCTCCGGCTGGCATCAGCCTCTGCAGTGGGTATGCCCCACAGGGTAGTGGGCAGGGAAGCTCTGTCCAGCACCTTCATTCATGGGATTTCAGAGCAGCAGATGGGGTCAGGGGGCAACAAAAACAAAGTTCTTCTCCAAGTGAAAGAAGAGCTCACAGCCCTGGGCAGCTACTTGGGAAAACCTGACACCAGCCCCCTGAACAGGTCAGGACTATGTCTGGACTCAGGGCTTCCTGGCCTGTGGGAACCACCATCTCTTAAGGTCTGTGTGCTCAGGATGCAGGGCCAGCTCCGTAATGCGGGGCCAGTACAGGAGGAAAAAACAGAGTAAGAAAGCAGGAAAAAAGCCTCCATTTCCTCTGTGGTCTCTCAGCCAGCTAAGGTGTTTTTACTTGTTATTTAATATCAAGCTTTCTTAGGCAGAGGCAAGTGCAGACACTCCAGGGCACTTATGGGCGGCAAGATGTGTTAGCGGAGGCTCCAGACCCTGGCAGGACAGGTTCAGGAGCTCTCGCGGGCGTGTCACATGGGGGTGAGGATCCAGCCTTCTGTCAGGTGACCACCTGCTGAGTCTGTCCACTCAGGTCCCTGTGCTTTTCAGATCAGGTCGTCTTGGAGTGGCGGTCCAGAGAGAGGACTTGCTACTGTGGCCACACCACTGCCCCGGCCACCCCTCATCTGTTCCCCAAGTCTGTGGTTTGGTGGTTTTGGGATGTTATGTTAGTGGGATCTTACAGGATGTAGCTTTGGGGGCTGGTCGCTGTGTCTAGCTGGCTCCTTTACCCACGAGTCTTGTCCGTGATGTGCTGAGCCTCAGCTTGTTTGAAGGTTCACCCGGGGACAGCGGCGTGATTCCCAGCTGGGCTGTTAGACATTCATCCTGCACGTTCCTCTGTGAGCACAAGTGTTCATTTCTCCTGGGAAACACCAGAGCGACTGTGTTGTATGATACACGTTTGCCTGACTTCATGAGACACCGCCAGGCACATTTACCCCCAGCCACACGGGGAGACCTGTGCCCCACATCCTCACAGCAGGTTCATAGGTGTTTGGCGCTCTCTCACGGCAGGTTTGATTTGCGTGGCACTAACGGCTAGTGACGGTGAACTCCTTTCATGTGTTTACTGGCCTCTGTGTATCCTTAGTGTTTTTCTGAGTCTTTTGCTCATTTCCTAAGTGGATTGTTTTCTTGCTGTTAGACATGTGATTTTTAGATTTTCTCCAAGACGGTGGACTGGGTGAGAGGTGGCTGTGTGTTTAGTGTCTCAGCAGAGTGTCTGGTGATCAGACTTCTCACTGCAGGTGGGCTGTTTGGAAAGTGAGAGCTGACCTGAGTGCTGGCTGGTGCCGCTGTTCACTTTCACTGTGGGGTCCTGTTAGAGATGCCTAGGTGGGTACCAAAGGTGGCATCGGAAAGGCAGTGGGAGGTGGGGCCCGGCGTGCAGGAAATGGGGATTTTGGAGTCATTTGGGTGTGTGTGGGATTGGAGATCATGGGCCTGGATGGGACAGAGAAGCACAGAAGCTAGAATCTCAGTCTGGGGCATTGGGCATTGTAGGTATAAAGGAGGGGAGTCCATACGGGTTTGAGGAGCCCTAAGAGTAAGAACAGGAAGGGTGTGGGTGCTGGATGCCAGGAAGGAGGTGGTGGGCTCATTGGTTCTGCTCCATCCACTGGGGCTGTGGAGGACTGACCTCTGAGGGAAGTCAAGGGGCAGGGGACCTGATGGCAGTGACGTTACAGGAGGGAGTGTGGGGGAGGAGGCAGCAGTGAGTGTCCAGACCCTGCTGAGAGATGGTCTTTCTTGCCCCAACTAAAGTGTTGGGAAGCATCACCTTGATGTCACCGGAACTGGGAAGGACGTGTGACCACTATGTGCTGGACCCTTCCTTGGGGAGCACCCAAGTAGGACAGGGTGGGGGCAGAGCCAGCTAAGCACCATCAGCTGGTCGTTGGGCGGCTTATAAATAGCACCCGAATCAGGCGCTTGTAACTGGGCGTGAAATGCAGACTCTGAGACCAGGAGTCTGTGGAGCTATTTTTAACTTTCATTCTTTGAAGGCGTTTGGCTTGCGCTCCTTTTCTTTTTTTTTTTTTTAATATACTGAGTCACAGCAAGGAAGCTGTATGAAAGGTGAACCAGAGTGTGAAATTGTAAACCTTTCCCTCAAAATTTAATATGTCTGACTCGTTTGCTCAGTGAAAAAGCTAACAGTTTTTAAAGGAAAAGGAATGATTTTTCTTAAATAAGAAAGTCACAAAGTTGTCTGTTTTTGCTTAATGACCCAGTTATACTTGTATGTTTATTTTGAAAGGAATGATGGATAGTAAGTGTACTAAAGTCTGTTTTAAATCTGTAAGACCTAAAACGCATCTGTGCATTTATTTTAAAAGGAGTAATGCCTGGTTGCAGGTTTGATCCCCAGTTGGGGGCATACGGGAGGCAACTAATCCATGTTTCTCTCTCTCACCCCCTTTTTCACTAAAATCAATAAACATAACCTCGGGTGAGGATTTAAAAAAAGAAGTAATGCAGATTGAGTGGCATTGGAGTCTTTTTTGAGTCTCCTGATCTTTTCCTCTTTGGCTGGTCTGAAATTTTCTTTATAGTCATGAAAGGCTTGCTCTATGGTTTCGTTCATTAAGCTGCTTGTAACTTGAGGCAAGTGCGAGGTGGGCTTCTCGGTGGCTCCTCCCCAGCAGACAAGTCTCCTATGCATGGGGCACGTGGCTCCGCGCCCGACTTGAAGGGCGGCACTCTGTCCGCCCTCTAGTCCGGCAGACAGACACTGACGTTGGCTGTTCTTTTCCAGGTGCACGTTCAGATTCCCGAGCACAAACATCAAGATAACGTTCACTGCCCTGTCCAGCGAGAAGAGGGAGAAGCAGGAGGCGCCGGAGTCCCCGGTGAAGCCAGTGCAGGCCCACATCTCCCCCCTGACCATCAACATTCCAGACACCATGGCCCACCTCATCAGCCCCCTGCCCTCCCCCACGGGAACTATCAGGTACGCAGGCTGGGGGTCAACGTGGACTAAGGGGCTAGGGTACGCAGCCTGTCCTCAGCTCCCTGGTGAGGAGGGGCGAGTGGAGCTTGGGCTCTGTGTCCCTCTACCAAGCTGGAGCCCTGGAGTCATCAGGTGTGGCTCTGTCCTTGGTCAGTTCCGGAATCATCCTGAGCTTCAGTTTCCTCACTGGTGGAATAGGTGGGCCTCCTTTGAGAGTTTGTTTTATGGTCACATGAGATAACACATGTGGAAGCAAATTCCCACGTTTGTTGGGGTGATCTTCAATTTCACAGGGATGAGTTCACTTTTCCATGGGAAATTCTGATATTCTCTCTCTGTTTGTTTTCCCTGGAACCAGAGCCAGTTATCCAAGACGGTGTGATGTTTGCTCTGTGACAGACTGATAGCAACTACCTTTTCTTGTCCACAGTGCTGCAAACTCCTGCCCATCCAGCCCCCGAGGAGCAGGATCTTCAGGGTACAAAATGGGCCGTGTGATACCATCTGACCTCAATTTAATGGCTGACAACTCACAGCCAGAAAATGAAAAGGAAGCTTCAGGTGGAGACAGCCCAAAGGTAAATGTTTCATGGCCTTGAAATAGAACCCAGAGGCCTTCGTGCAGCCAGCTGTCCTGTCCTCACTGCATGTCTAGTAGCATCCCCACCAGGGCCTTTGAGAAGCACGTGTGGTCTGTGTCAGTGACATGCACGCAGGAGTGGACATGGGGTGGCTGTGGGCTCACTGGTCACTGTTTAGCATGCTCTTGGGTTGTGGGGTCTCCTGAGAGCTGAGCACACGGGGGACAGGAGAACCCTTAGTCCTCGTGAGGTGACATCCAGTGTTTCCCAAACAGTGAAGGTGGTGTGTGCACACAAACACATGTGCCTAAAAACACCAAGAATCCTGAGTTTCATTACTGTGTTTTTTTTTAATACAGGACGACTCAAAGCCACCTTACTCCTATGCACAGTTAATTGTACAAGCGATTACGATGGCTCCTGACAAACAGCTCACCCTCAATGGAATTTACACGCACATCACTAAAAATTACCCGTACTACAGGACTGCGGACAAGGGCTGGCAGGTAAACCCACTTCATTTTGTTACTAAATGTTCTGCCTAGTGCCTTGTAGATGCTGGTTGACAGCTGAGAGGGGAGTTCAGCTGTGGTGGTTTAACTCAGGCACAGGTGGAGGTGATGAGCAAGAGGAGTGAGATTCCCTCTTGCTAGAGAGGAAGACACGTTAGAGGCCATGGTTGCCACACTCTTTCTGACCCCTTAGTGCAGAGTGGAAGGAATAGCAGTTCTAAGAAAAAATCTCAGCCTACCTTGTGCACTGTCATGGTCCCCATGGTTGGGACAGGCACTGGGCGTTGAAGGGTTTCTTCCATCAGGGCAGTCATTCCATGTCTGAAACAAAGGAGAGTTAAAGTCCACCCCTTACTCTGGCGTTGTTCTGTCTCCCTTATGTATTACGTCTGCTGAGGTATGTAGCTTTTAGAAGTTTACCTAGAGACGGTTTTCAAACTGTTTTACTGAGGAACCCTTTCTTTAGAAGATGTCTTTCCAGTGGGCTAGTACGCACAACATGGGTGCCCCGCTGCCCATTAAAGCAGGAGCCCACCTGCTTGTCCACCTGCACTGGGGTCCCATTCCGAGGGTGTCTGGACCTGGGCCTCCTCAAGGGACTCTTTGAAATCAGTGCATAATATTTCCGGTGTTTAGCTTTTTAATTTAGTTTCATTTTTAAACCTTAACATTGTGTAGGTTTTTTCTGCCTGTCTGTGTTGTGTAGTCATTTACTGGGTGTACACATGCGCAGTGGGAGCTCACTAATTCCTACAGTAGGGAAAGGGTAAGTTTGAAAGAATAGTACAGAACAACGAGAGAAAAGTACCCATTTATAACTTCCAAATTCATGACGTAGCCAGGAGGGGTGGGGTTTCTTTGAGGCTTAATGAGTAAAAGATCTTGTGGAAAATGCCTGTTGAACCATAACAAGCGATGGGGGCAGGAGCGGGGGGAACGTTTTCTGCCTAATGGAGGGTAAAAGCTTGTTTTTCCTACCTGCAGATGTATAAACATGTTTGAATAAATGTAGTCTACCAACCAGCCCCTGAATATTGCCTTTCTCAGGGGTCTTAGTCATGTCAGGGTCTTTAGTGGTGGGAGGTACAGATAAGACCCAGCCTCTCCTGGCCCCAGGTGTTCACAGCAGGGCCGCGTTCCTAGTGGGCAGTGAGAGCGCTGGATGTGGAGAAGGCCCCCTATCCAGCTACCTGGCAGTCTCTTCACAATTACACAATGAAGCTTCGCAGAACTTACCAGACGGTAGCTGTACAGCGAGGCTGTGCTTCAGAGGAGATGGACACTGACAGAAGCAGGACCATGTCCGTGGCTGCAGTGGAGTCTGGCTCCCTATGCGCGGAATTCTGATGATGTGAAAAGCCAGTCAGCTTGATGGGAGTGAGTTTTTCTGGCCAGACTTAAGGATCCATTTTCCTACAGTCACATTTCCCAGTTTCCACGTGTCTGTCTGAGAGAGAGCTGCTTCCGCGCATCAAAAGGTTTTCTTGCTGAAGGATGCGGAGGTGCTGGGCCACGGCGATGTGGCCGCCCCGTTGCACTGGGTGCTACTGTCTCCAGGGTACGATTTGTCAGGTCCCTCTCTACTGAACTGTGTCATTAACGCTTGTTTTTATTGAAACATCTTTTCTGTCTAGATCATAAGGTCATAAGGGCGACTGCGCCTCTTGCCCGTGTAAGGCTGCTCCTGGGACGTTTCACGCCTCCTGCCTCCAGCCACTTGAGCGGGAAAGGGGCTCCTGCTGCAGCCCTCCCTTTGTTAGGACCTGCACTGTCTCCTCAGCCGTCCATAGCTCCCCGTCTGAGCTGCATGTGCCATTTTCCTGTCATGAGATTCTCTGAGCTGCTCATCCCCAAATGTCTGCACGTGTGAGACCTCTCACCCCGTCTTCCCTCCTGCTTTCAGACAGAAAGTCCTCTCCATTCTACAGCCTGTTTTAGAAAAGGGCGAGATCCTTTTTCTTTTTGAAATGTGTTTCCAGGCTGTGCCCTGGCCTGCGCCGGGGCGGGAGGTGGCCACGTGGTGCGTGTCCGAGCTCCTCGTCAGTTCCTGAGGTGTTGACACTTCCTGCCACCCGTTGAGCACTTAATGGGGGAGTCCACAGCTGCCTTTCAGATTGACTTTCGGATTTTAGCTTTGTGTACCCATGCCTCACTTTTTTATTAATCCAGAGGAAATTCTAGGGTGAAACAAGATGGTCTGAGTAAACCTGTCCGGAAAGATGGCATATTTCTTCCTTTGGCTGTATATTTATGCCAAAATGTTGTCTTATGATTTATAATTATAACTTACCCAGCTCAGAGGTGAGGTGTCTGTTGTGACTATGAAGAGTCTGAGAATTCGGGGGCTCTCGGCTTCTGAAAGGACCAGAGCTGGTTTCTTAAAGCCCAGGGAGTGCTCTGTGCTCACCCCACCCTGCGCATTGGATTCCCTCTGGAAGGTACTGGGACGTGTTTCCTGTTCTGAGTTTCTTTACAAGTACTGCTATGCAGAGTGCATGCTGTCCAGGGCTCAGTGCCGCGCGATGGGTCACTAGACAAGCAGAAACGGAGGTCTGAGCCGGGAAGGAGCTCAGGGAAGGCAGCATGTGCCTCTCCTCGTGGTCAGCTGAGGGGACAGGAAGGGTGGGTTCTGGGCAGCAGCCACACTGAGGGTTTGGGGGAGAGAGGGTGCTCAGTATTCAGATCCTTTTTTTCGCATTTGCTTTTAAAGAAGAATAATTTGCCTTTTCTGTGAACACTTTATCGTAACTTCTGCATCGTTGGAGTCCAAATCTGTGTGGTTTTAATGTCGCTTGGTTTGACCAAATTACAAAAGCCTTGCTCTGGTGAGGTAGCTTGGTTGGTTGGAGTGTTGTCCTGATACCCCAAGGTTGTGGGTTCGATTCCCTGTCAGGGCACATACAAGACTCAACCAACAATGTGTAAATAAGGGGAACAACAAATCGATGTTTCTCTCTCCCTCTTCCTCTTTTTTTATTTTTTGTTTTTTATCCCCACCCAAGGATATTTTTTTCCATTGCTTTTCAGAGAGTGGAAGGGAGAGAGGGAGGGACATTGATGTGAGAGAGACACATCGATCGGTGCCTCCCACACCTGGGATTGAGCCTGCAACTGAGGTACGTGCTCTTGACCAGAGTCGAAACTGGAACCCTTCAGTCCTCAGGCTGACATGCTAACCACTGAGCCAAATGGGCCAGGGCCCTTTCTCTCTCTTAAAAAAACAAAAATCACAAAGGCCTTATTAAATTACTTTAGAAACATTGTGGCTTTATTCTATTTGTGTCTACATTAGATGTCTCATATTCACCACATTTTCTAGCTTCGTTGACTGGAAAGTCACAGGTGACCATTGGGGCCCCCTTTGCCCCTGAGATGCCATTAGGGTAGAAAGGGGGTTAGACCCCATTCTGTGGTGCAGACTGGGTCCTGTTCCATTTCAGAACAGGAAACAGCCACTCCTCGATGGACCATCAGCAGTGCGACCCTGGTCTTGTCCTTTCATCAGTGGGTCTTCTGTGACAGCGTTACTCCAGGTTCCCCCTGTGCTCGTGTCCCTCCCCTCCCAGCAGCAGCAGCAGCACACTGACCGCCCCACAGTGGTTAGTGCAGTGATGGTCAGTCATTCTGCACTGTGACTTTGTGACCACTCCTGAGGTCCCTCTAGGAGGCCACGTTCCCAGAGAATAGTCAGAGGAACTCTGGACCCCCAGGCAGCCGCTGCAAGGATTGCCTTGTTCACAGAGAGTGTTCTGTAGAGGGTCACTGTCTGGCTTTGCTCTTCTCAACCCACAGCCTTGGAACCTGCCTTCTCCTCTAACTTAAAAAGGCCTGAGTGCAATTGGAGGACTGTCTTGTCTTTGATGGGGGCAGATTTGGTTTTCTGGAAGAGTTGATTGAAAGGTATTGGTTGGTTATCAGTTAAACCCTATGATAAAACAGCCTAGCAAGTATCTGTGATTAAAACATTCTAAATCTCATATACATTTGTTCATAGAAATGTCATAACTCACACCAGCTGGCCGGCTCCTTCGCGTTGCCAATGTAGTAACTGATGCCATGGCCTTCGGTTTCCACCATGGTCTGTGGCCTGCGTGCTACTTGAACAGGAACTTGGATTGTGTGCAGAAGTATTTGACACGTCTTGATTTCTAAGCCCTCTCTGGTGATTCAGAAGTTGAAGCCACGGCTGCATTTCTAGCAGAAGGTTAATTGGGGAATTTAGAAATGATGTTTGGATAACCAAACTTTTACTCTGTTATTGCCATTTAGAAACTTTGCTCGTTTATTCCTTTTAAATGTGAACATTGATGTGAATGCATGCCAGCTCAGAGAAGGGTTTGCTGCAGCAGTTCCCAGGGTGCAGTGGGAGCCTGTCCCAAACCACCTCAGCCTTGAGCCAAGCTCCTGGTAGAAAGAATGGAGCAGGAGCTGAGGGGCATGTTCCCTACCTGCTCCACAAGATTACTGTGAGACGCACGTTGAGTACTTTGCAGATACGCTGCCCCTGGAGATGGTGTCACAGACACGTCTCAGCCTTGGGCTCGTTTTCCTCCTCTGCTGCTTTGCCAAATACTTAATGCTGGATTTACCCACTTTAAATGGCTGTGACAGCTTCTGAACGCTAACTGTGCTCAAACAAGTATTGTAAAGGATTGGCTTACCCGGGCTCCGTTGTCTCTAAATAGGGAGAGGGCGGCAAGAAAGGTCAAATGACCAGAGTGATACCTTTAGTTTCCTACCTGGAAAAAAGGTGGAAGCTGACATTTTCCTGTTGGAAATAGCCTCTTTCCTTTCCTCGTGGTGTAGCTCCTAGCCCCTCCTGCTGAGGGGTCCCCCCAGCTCCCTATCTGCTCACTCGGGAGGGGGCCAGTGCCTTCCAGACAGTGCTGTGTTCAGACTTCTCCTCCCTCTGCAGGAGCACGGCTGGCACCTAGGTTTCTGCTTTGCAGGGCACTAAAATGAAGCACATTTTTTATTTCTCAGCAAAGAAATATATGAATTCTATGTATCTTTTTTATGTTTCATAGAATTCAATTCGCCACAATCTCTCTCTGAATCGTTATTTCATCAAAGTACCACGTTCCCAGGAAGAACCAGGCAAAGGCTCATTCTGGAGGATAGATCCTGCCTCTGAAAGCAAATTAATAGAGCAGGCTTTTAGGAAAAGACGGCCTAGGGGCGTGCCTTGCTTTAGAACCCCTCTGGGACCGCTATCGTCTAGGTAAGGAAAAAAGACAAACAAAAAGACCTCACTTAATGGTCAGTAAATTTATCTTCGATGTATTGGTAAATTTTCCTTTGGAAAATGAAGGAAGTACCAAATGCATTATGATTAAATGTTGGGATGGGGATTTGGAAAAACAAAGTGTTGGATGCTCTATTTTTGTTTCCAGTGGTCGGAAACTGTAAATTTTGCTTAAACTCATTTTCCATGTAGCAGTTGTTGCTTCATTGAACTCATTGCGTATTGTAATATGATGAGTCACAATGTATCGATTTCACATTGACCAATACTGTGTTTTTCTTTCCCTTGGCCTGTGAAAGCTCTTTAAAGCTACCTTGTAGCTGCTTAAACTTGATTGATTTCTACAATATTAACTGCCTGAGTTTAAAATTACACATTTTTAGCTTCATTAATGGATACTGTTTTTAAACAAAAAAAAGAAATGACCATGACATAAGTCTGAAGCCCCAGCCAGCTTTGCACACTGCCCGCTGCCTGACCAACAGGCACTGCTTAGACTTGGCAGCCAGTCCAGCTCCCTGCGCTGGGCATGGGGCAGTGGCATCCCTGCACACAGTGGCTCTGGCACAGCCAAGCGAGTCTTCACTGAGTATCCATCTCAACCACAGGTGTTTACAGAGAAAGTAAGATTATGGAAATGTAGTTGCTTGGCAGAAGACAGATGACACCCCTTTTTGCAAAATACACTTGTTAAAACAAGGCAGCCTTAGGAGTGTTTTACCTTTAAGAATCCACTGTCTTCTTTTTGGCAATACAGAAGTGCCCCAGCCTCTCCTAATCACGCTGGAGTGCTGTCTGCTCACTCCAGTGGTGCCCAGACCCCCGAGAGCCTGTCGAGGGAAGGTTCGCCGGCCCCCCTGGAGCCCGAGCCTGGCGCCTCACAGCCCAAACTGGCTGTCATCCAGGAGGCACGGTTTGCCCAGAGTGCACCAGGTGAGGCGTGCAGAGGGCAGGCATGGGGGGAGGGGGGCAGTGGTTCATAGAGAAGAAATGGAAGAGGCTTTGGTTGCTTTGTACCTGATACTTTGTGCACAGAACCTGAGTGTTGTTTTCCAGGCTCTGAGCATTCCTGTATGTGACACTGTGTAGATGTCTGAAATAATTTTGAATTAACCTGTTTCTTAGTTGCTTCATTTAAAAACCTGTGAGAAAGATTCCTCCCTCCCCCCAAAAAGGAAGTAACAAATTAGACATTGATTAGCAGCAAAAAATGTTCATTTAATGATTGGTGAGCATTATGCAGTTTAGTTATAAAGTCATAATGCAGAATAAAAACATGTGCCCTGGTGAATTAAAAAAACAAACTGTAGAAATTCTGTTCTGGTTCCTAGTTGGCTCGTGAGTGTGCGTGTGCTGTTATTATTCCTGGCCCCCGACCAGTCCAGGTCCTGTCACCCATGTCCTCCTGGGTTCTTAAGCCCAAACCAGGAGCTGAGGCTGGTCAGCAGAGCTTATCACAGCCTTACTGTCCCCGAACTTTCCAGACTGAGCCTGGCCCCTCTTTCGGGCCTCCGTGGACAGCTTCCTCCCATATCCTGTGTCCACAATTTTTTTTCATGAGGAAAGAACTATAGGAAGAGCTGCTGTAAGAAAAGTAAGTACAGCAGCCATTGTGTTGCGGGCATTTAGGTCTATGAATGAAATGCCCCTGTTAAATTACTGCCATGTCTCATCGTGAGTGACTTTACTATTCCAGGTGATCAGGGCTGTGTCCTGTTTTATCTGTTAGTCTGTGTGTTGTCAGTGGTCAGAGTTGGTTTGGGGAAAAGGGTTGGAGGAATATGGGACGACACATAAGCCTCACTCCTGCTCCATCGTCCCCCACAGGCTCCCCTCTGTCTAGTCAGCCTGTTTTAATCGCTGTGCAGCGGCAGCTGCCCCCGACGATCAAGCCCGTCACCTACACTGTCACTGCCCCCGTGACCACCTCCACCTCCCAGCAGCCTGTTGTGCAGACGGTTCACGTTGTCCACCAGATCCCAGCAGTGTCCGTCACCAGCGTGGCCGGACTGGCCCCAGCGAACACATACACCGTCTCCGGGCAGGCTGTGGTCACACAGGCAGCTGTGCTGGCCCCTCCTAAAGCAGAGCCGCAGGAGAATGGAGATCACCGAGAAGTGAAAGGTGAGCCTCAGGGGCAGGTGCTGAAGCAGCTTTCCAAGCTCCAAGAAAACCAATAGACCCATCCTGGTCTGGCCCAGCCTGTTTCCAATGCTGCTCACTGCTGTTTTAGAACAGGTCTGCTAGCCACTGAGTGTTTTATTTTAAACTAGTGAGATTTCTCTGAGCCTTCTAGCAGTATTATTAGTTGGTGTCATTTCTTCTCATTTCAGTGAAAGTGGAACCTATTCCTGCGATGAGCCAGGCAACCCTGGGCACCGCCAGTCGTGTCATTCAGACGGCACAGACCACCCCTGTCCAGACAGTCACCATCGTGCAGCAGGCACCACTAGGTCAGCACCAGCTACCAATAAAAACTGTAACACAAAACGGGACTCACGTGGTGCCAATCCCCGCCGCCGTGCATGGCCAGGTGAACAACGGTAAGCAGCGAGGGGATCCTCACTCCCCTTTTCTGAAGGGCACGTTGAGTTTTGGTCCCAACAGTTGGAATTTTTTTGTCTGAGGAGATGTCCACTTTAGAAGCTGTAGAAGCCCTAACGACACTGCAGACACCCTGGAAGTGCTCACGGGAGTGGGCTCTCGGACCCCCTGTAGAGAGGCTGTCTGACGAGAGAGGAGCGTTTCTGAAAACTAGAGAAAAAGTACTCCCGCTTTTTGTGCGTACCTGCCTGTGGTGTCCTAGCTGACCTGTGCAGGGCAGTGCCCCCTCGAGGTGTCGGACGTGGTAGAGAGAATGTCTCTGCTGGAGTCCTGTGAGTGTTGCTGTCCACCAGTGTCCTGACTTGGACATGTGGAGAAGACAGAACAGACTGAGGAAATTGGCTCTTAGACAAGAGACAAAGATGTCTTGATGTTTTTGTAAATGGAATTTTCTTAATTTCCTTTTTAAATTGTTCATTGCTGCTGTATAGAGATAGAACGGATTTTGTGTTTTGATCTTACAACTGCTGCATTCATGTTTCGTGTGAATTTGGTAGGATCTTCCATGTGTAAAGACAGTCATCTGCCGATAGAGACAGTCTCACTTCCTCTTCTCTCCCTATTTCATTGTTCTGGCCGGAACTCAGTGCAATGTGGAGCAGCAGCCAAGGCAGACACCCCGTCTTCCTGTTCAGGAGACACCCAGGGTTTCACTACTGAGGCTGATGGAGTGGACTTTAGTATGTCGAGAAATTTTCCTTCTGTTCTGTTTGCTGGGTAGTTTTATCATGAAAATGTGCCGAGTCTTGTCTGGTGCCTTTTCTGTACTAAGGTGGCCACATGGGTTCCCGTTCCTTGCACTCCTGGCATAAACCCACTTGGTTATGTGGAACCTTTTATGAGACTTGACTTATTTTGCGAAAACTTAGTGGAGGGTTTGTGTGTATTCGTCAGGGATGTGGTTTGTAGTTGTGCAGTTTTTGGCAGCTCCTGGGGCTGCTCGTACTGCTCCCCAGAAAACCCAACGTGCTCCTGGCGGTCCTTCATCTAATCTTGCCAACTGTACTGTGGTTCTGGTCACAGGTACTCGGTCAGTCTTTGCTGGGACTCAGGGGGCAGCAGGTGTCGGGAAGGAAGGTCGCCGGTTGCCCTCCAGGCTCCTGTGCACGCAGGCTCTCTCTGTGGGCAAGACCCCCTTTAGGCCATCTGCTGCCTGGGTCCCACACCTCCCTCGGAAAGGGCACGAGGGTGGAAGGGTAAGGAACTCCCTGGAACAGAAACTTTCCCTGGGTCACATGGGCCAGTCGTGCTGTGTGCTGTGGCTTCAGGCTTCTTTCAGCCCAGTCGGCCTTCTCACGTTGAGTAAGTGGCACTTTCTCGATGCAGAGCAACCCTTTTGTTCACCTCCTGGAGTTTACCTGGTTGTACAGAGCGTGGGGCAGGTGAGGGCAGGAGTGGTGGAGACCCTTGTGCACAGCAGGGACGTCCCACGTCGGCCTGGGAGGAGGAAGGGCCCCTGTGCTGAGTGCCTGAGGGAGGAAGGGCTCAGAGGTTGAGGCGGAGGCCGGGGAGAAGCTGGGAGGCCCATCCACTGTTAGCCTGAGCCCCACACCCTGCTCCCCTCCTCCTGCGTGGAGAGATCGGGAGCATTCAGGGGCTCAGGGAGAGAACTTCGGCAGCAGCCCCTTGGCCACGACAGCAAAGCCATACTGTTGGCACCACCTTTGCCTGACCCTGAGCCTCAGTCTCCCCCAGGGTTCTGTCAAGATGGCTGTTAATAAGAACACCCACAGTCAGCCCTGGCCTGTGTGGCTCAGTTGGTTGAGCGTCGTTCCAGGCCGTTTGATTCCCAGTCAGGGCACATACCAAGGTTTCGGGTTCAGTCTCTGGTCAGTGTGTGTAAACATCAGTCAAGGCAACAGATGGTTGTTTCTCCCTCTCCCTTTCTGTTGCTAAAAAAATCAACAAAAAAGTATATATATTTTAAAGTATCTTTATCCACAATCATGGTTTACTTGCCCAGGCTCCTGTGCCCTTGGCCACCAAGGGACATGCAGGTCACAGAGAGAAGCTGACACTTGGGGCAGAGCCTGGGGTCTCATGCGGTCTTACTCACTCTCTCTCTGCAGCAGCGGCGAGTCCTCTGCACATGCTGGCGACACACGCATCAGCGTCGGCCTCCCTGCCCACAAAGCGCCAGAATGGCGACCAGTCAGAGCAACCGGAGCTGAAGCGGGTCAAGACCGAAGACGGTGAGAGCATCGTCATCGCCCTGAGTGTGGACACACCGCCGGCAGCCGCGAGGGAGAAGGGCGTCCAGAACTAGCGGCCTGGAGAGCTTTTCTACTTTACTGTCAACTCTGTGGTGCCAAAAGGAGACACTGCCCGTCACTGATGCTCGGAGCACATTCTCTCGGTGGGCAGAGGGCCCTGCGGTTGGACTTCATGTCAGCACTGAAAACACAAAACCCAGGTGGCCTTAAAACTCCTTAAAGACAGAAGTCACACCTGAACTTGAAACCACACAAGGAAACCTGGTTCTGGCAGTGTCTCCCCGCCCAGTGCCCACCTTTAACCCTGAGCAGACTCGCGGTCCTTCCCAGGGAGGACCGTGCCCAGTACAAGCAGATCGGCCGGGACGGGCTTCCTTGAGGGGACCAAGCAGAAGCCCCCCTCGGAGGACCCACGGGGCTGGCAGAGGAGACAGTATTTTGTTGTTCACATGTGGAATTAGAATATTTTGAGGTGTACTTTCTTTCTTTACAAAATAATGGGGTCTTTGACATTTCAGATCACTCCATTTCTACTCTGGAAATTTTGGAATCACACAGGACCTTCAGTGTGGGTTTCATTTGGAGGAAAAAAACCACGTAGTTCTGTTTGTTTTCGTTGTTTGTTTTCAGCCTATGGAATGATTTCCTTTGTCCAGTTAAAGGTCAGGAGGAGCTACTTGATGACAGCTGCCCATTTTCCCGTTGGAGCAGCTGCCTGATGAGTTTACTCCCTCTCAGTGTGTGGGACGGACAGATGGACGTGGAAGGGCTGCATGGATGAACTGCGGGCTGCACTTAACTGTTTTTCTTGCTACTTTTTGTTGTTTCTTTGTGTTGACTTTGTCCCTGGCATAATTTTCCACTCTAAGTAAAACAAGTCTCCTAAGTATTGTGTGTTTAAAATGACAGAACTATTCCTACTTTATTTGGGGGAAAAAATTCAATCTTTTGTCACCCTTTCAAACAAATGTCACAGATTTCTGGGTGGCACGTTTGCTATTTTAGGTGCTGTCACCGGCTCAGCATCGTCTTGACCAGCTGTCTTCCCAACTCTGCCCCACTCACCCAAGAGCAGCTGCTGGGGTGGAGCAGAAACTTCGTGTTAATACAGGGTGTTAGAAGCAAATGCCCTGCGATCAAGCACTGGGAACATCTAGGTCGTTTTCCGATTTGTGATAGGAAATTCCACTCAGCCTTCGAAACGGAATCCACTACTAAGGCTGATTTCTCTCCTACAAAAAATAAAAGCGAGAGGAAAGGAAACAGGTGAGAATGAAAAGCAGGAGGCACTCCCATGGCCTCGGCTTACACGCCTCCAGGAGAAAGCCACTCATCTTTCCAGAGTGTACCGCGGTTAGGGCTGAGCACCGTGCAACTAGTAAGAAGGCTCTGGCCTTATTGTGAATTTTTAAATGTCATCATCATAACGTTATTTATTTAAATGTAGTTGTTTTGGTATTTAATTTTTTATTTTTTATTTTTAGAGAGAGAGGAAAAAACCCTGTATTTTCCTGGTGGAATGAAACAGCTCAGAATGGTATATTTAGGCAATTTTAAAACATTTATTATTTACCTAAAGACCAAATATGATAAATCTGTTCTAAGTATTGTGTGTCAATCCAAAGTATGGAGCTGTCACAATGTTACTACAGATCATGCATATTAAAAATTATGAAATTACTGCAAATAGCTGGATTTATAACTCAGCCATTTAAAAAATAAAACAGAACCATTAAGTGACTGAGACACGTGTGTGACAGTGGCAGAATCTCACCTGCAGGTTCCAGCCCAGGCGGGAGCCCCTCAGGGCAGCAGCCTGCATCGTCCAGGCACTTTACAAAATACCTGAGAATGTATGTTTTTGTCTTTTTGTTCAGGAGGTTTGCAATGTGCAAAATAATTCAGACTGTGCTGTGTCCTGTGTGTGGGGTTGGGTCACTCCTCTGAGGGACCTAGACCTGTTTGTCTTGCTAGTGCCCCTAACTGAGCTCTTGGTAGGTGAATAGGCAAGACCACCCATGGGGGACTTGGCTTGGGCGACAGTAACTCGATGCACTGGGTGTTGTCTTGGAGACCTCCACACAGCAGCGTGCTTGTCACCACCCAGACTCGGGCACATTCTCCCTACTTCAGCCCAGTTCATCAGTTGGTTATTGCTGAGCCTGAAACACAGACCTTACCGGACGCTATGTACCCAGTTCTTAGATTTTAGAGGATAGGTTTTCGCTGTAAGGCAGCTGGAGTGCCTCTGTCAGCCGAGCGTAGTCCCTTTCCTCCTCCCCTCTCACTCATTAGTTGGCATTTAGAAATTTAAAAATACTAAGATGGCCGGAAAAAACATAGATTAGAAAACTACCATATTCCAAGCAAGTTTTTTTCAATTTAGCTCTCAATTCCCAAGAGCCCTTCACACACCAAGGGTCCCTGAGCCAAGTCCCTCCTGCCCTGCTGGAGGCCTGGTGCCACACACGTAACACACATTGAACTCCCTCCCTGCTGTCCACTGGCAGTTCCTAATGTCTTATTTCAAGAAGTTTCTACTTTGACTTTTGCCAAACTTCTGAGCTCCCTAAGGGACTGGAAACTTCATTTCTGCAGCTTTGCCCTGAACCAAACAAAAATACGAAAGAGAAACTCACGCGTGACCTGCACGGCGTGGTGCGTTCCAGGGTGTCTGTGTGCTAGGGCTCATCTTCCCGTGTCAGTAGCGTCCCCACACAGACAGCTGAGGTCCTCAAATACACCACCCCTCGTCCACTAGAACCAGAAGAGCCGGAAGTCATGGTCAGAGGGGTGGGGCAGTGTCAGGACTTGGGATTTCTGTGCTCTGTGACACAGGGATAAGTGACAATCTTCAAGTCCTAACTGCCATTAGTCCAGAGGTATAGTGGTGGTTTGTGTGCAAAGATTTGAAATTTTAAGAGTACCAAGTTCCTGAAATCCAATAAAATATTTTTATTAATTTTGATTGAATACAGTATCATTGTCATTTTGATAAACTTAAGCAGGCATTTCTGTTTTGCTTTTTTACTTTATGCCCCTTTACTGAGGACGCCAAAGGCCTAGCACCCTTGAGGTGTGTGAGAAGGCGCTGCTGTGATGGCCACTGTGGAGGCCCGCCCACTGGACAGGCCCTGGGTGTTTGCACTGCACATGAGGAAGGCACGGTCACAGGCTGCGGTAACAACTAAGAATCAAGGTCACTGCAAACAACCTGCAATAGCTTCCCCATGAGATGAAATCTTGTCTGAAGTGGCACACGGCCATTCAAGTACCCACACTGACCCTCTGGTTGTCCAGCTGCTACAGAAAGTCTGGCACGGATTGCTGGTGTCCTGAAGCTTGCTAAAGTGCTTCAGTCTAATCCCAGGGTGCCAGGGGGAAGGAGTCCTGAAAAGAATGGTATGAAGGGCCCTGGGGAGCTAAATGAAGATAAAATTGAGCATTCGAGGACAGAGTTCATATGGAGTGTTTCACTCCCAACATTGATGCCCTAATTTAAAACAAGTTACATTAGAGAAAAGCTGCTCGTCATGTACTGAGACTGTTTCTCCTAACGAAAGAAAGCATCCATAATGGTTTTTTCAGATGTTATCCATGTTGTATTAGTAGATATTTTAAAATGCATTATGGTCTTATCCTCCCTTCTCTCAGGAAAAGCTACTCTCGTTAATTCATTAGGTTCACCTTGCTGGTGTTAAACTGAGTCTTAAAAGATGACACCCATCCCAGAGGGCAACCAACCTTTACTCACAGAAAAGATGTTGTATGGAGGAGGCCCTCACTTCAGACACAGGAAACAATTCAGTAAGAGCCCTGTTCATTATTGCAGGGAGCCCACATTTGCAGCCACGTCTGGTCTGTAACGAAGACATTGGCACATGATGAGCCTCCATGCAGTCCTCACACAGTAGGTTAGTAGGTTCAGGGCTGAATGGGGAGGTGAAGAGCCTCCAGTACACAGTGATTGCAGCCTGCTGGCCAGTGCTCAATGCAGGGTTCTGTGCAACACCACACTGGCTGGCCTGCCCCTTGCTGCTGCCCCTGTGCGCTTACATTCATAGTGATACAAAAGTCGGATTTTCACATGGGCCTCTGGTGACCTCTGAGGAGATGACTAAACCAGTGGGCACAGATGTCCCAATCTGAGAAACGTCTGTCAAAGGCCCCTGTGGTGTAAGCACACTGCCCATGTGTCTCCCAGTGGCCACAAAACGACCACTGGCAATAAGTAAAGCAACTATCTCAGTCCTCCAAAAGTAACAGTTGCAGGCAGGTGGGGGTAGGGGGATTGAAAGTGGAAGGACCACCTATAATATGGTGACTGTTTTCCTGGGTTTTCTTTCCTCTTATATCTCCTGGCACAGACTCTGGGACAGCCCGAGTATCAGACCTGCACGTGAGGAAAGAACTTGGGTATGAATACCCAAGAAAGCCTCTCCACTCATTCTGGCCAGAGTCCTGGGAAAGGGCCCCATGAGACCGACCGTGGGGATCGCGCAGCCAAGACTCCAAGGACTAGGGGAGAATCTGTCACTTTTCTCTCTCACCATTTTAGCCTCACACTGGACCCAGTCACAGGGAACGTGCAAGATTCACAAAGCTCATTGGACCCCAAATAGGATAAACTCAAAACAATGCCAAGACATACCTTTAACCACAGAAACGGACGGCTTTCTAACCTTAAGGCAGACAAGGCAAGTGCCGTTGCACACAGAGCAACACGAACGGCAGGTTTCTCTTCCGAACCACGGAGGACGCCTTACTGGGAACCTTGAAGGGCTGATAGTAACTGCCACTCAGAACACTACACCCAGAGAAAATGCCGGGAAGGCAAGTGAAATAAAGATGTTCTTAGATGAAGGAAGGAAACTGGGCCAGCAGAGCTGCTCAAAAAGAAATGCTAAAGGAAGTTCCTCAGGTAGAAAGTAAATGAGAAACTTGGAACTTCAGGAATTGAGAAAGAGATCAACAGAAATAGTAAATACCTGGGCAAATATTATAAACAAATTTTTCTTCGGCTCTTTATGTCTGACTTTCCAATGTAAAAACTAACATTCGTTCAGGGTTACGTAAACATGACATTGACAGTTACAACAGTGAGGAAGGTGAGTTTGTAAGGTTCCTGTGTGTCACTGGAAGTGGTAAGACATTAATTCTGAAGTAGACTGAAAAGGTAGCTTTGTAGCCTGATCACTAGTGCAGTCGCCAGTGATACCTAACAAAGATACAGTAAAAAGCCTACGGGTGAGTTGCAACGGGACGCCGAGAACTTCAAGTCAAAGACAACCCTGGAGAGGCTGTGGGCGCAGTAGACCACTGCGATGAAGTGAGTCCCACGAGCTTTCTGGGTTCCCAGTGCATTTAACAGTTTACGTTATGCTGTAGTCTATTTAGTGTGCTTTAAAAAGTTGTCTAAAAAAGTGTACATAGCTTAGAATAGGCGAGTCCAGAGGAACAGAAAGCAAATCAGTGGTTACCAGACAGGAAGATGGGAGGAAATGGGCAGTGATTTCTTAATAGGTATGAGGTAACTTAGGGGTGTGAGGCGAGTTTTGAAACTAAGGTGGTAGCTGCCCAACATTGTGAATATACTAAATGCCATTAATTGGTACACTTTATAATGGCTAATTGTGTTATATGAATTTTTCCACAATAAAAACAAAGAAAACTTGAGACCTAGGTGTCACTAGCAAATTCTACCAAACGTGGAGGAAAAGCAATTTAAAATTGAGAACACTAACCTGGTGAGGCCGCAGCTTATACCTGTGGACAAAGCAAACAGCAGGTACTCTGGAATCCTGCAGCAGTTTGTATGACATTAAGCCATATGACTCCGCAATCTCAGTCTTGATAATTTATCCAAAACAAACAAAAAGTTATATTCACCAGGTAAATCTATCTGAATGTTTAGAGCAGCATTTTGTACCCTCTCCCGAAACTGGGAACATCCCGAATGTCCTTCAGTCAATGAACAAGCTGTGACCGTGGATGATACTTGGCGATGGAAGAACTGCTGATACAATATTACAGGTGAACCTCAAAGGCCTTACACTGAGTGAAAGCCAGACAAGAGGCCACCTACTCTGTTATGGGCTGAAATGTATCATCCTAACGCTGGTACCTGTGAATGTGACCTTATTTGGAAATAGGGTCTTTGCAGATGTGATCCAGTTAAGATGAAGCCATCAGGCTGGGCTCTACTCCAACTGTGGGTGTCCCAAGAGGAGAAAAGGCGTGCACGCGCGCGCACACACACACACAGGCAGAAGTCGCCATGACCCATCTCCAAGCCAGGGGCTGCTGGCAACCACCGGCAGCTGGAAGAGAGACCTGGGACAGACTCCCTCAGTGCCCAGAAGGAGCCAACTCTGCCAACACCTTGGTTCTGACTTCCAACCTCCAAAACCCTGAAAGAATAATTTTCTGTTGTGTTAAGCAGGCCAGTCTGTGCTCATTTGTTACAATAGCTCCAGGAGACTGCTACACTAAGATTAATGACATGACATTCTGAGAAAGCTCTACAGTCAGTGGTTGCCAGGAGCTGGGGGGTGGCGGTGGCTACAAAAGGAGAGTGAATCCTGGGGGACTGTGGCCACACAACTGTGCATCTGTCAACTCATAAAGCTGCACACACCCAAAAAGAAAGTGTGAATTTCAAAAAAAAAAATTAAAAAGCTAAAATTATCCCACTGTCCATGAATTACCGGTTGGGGAATAAATAGGGCTGGGCCCCTAGGTGTGTGTGCTGGCTCAGTCCTGATCCTAACCCTGAGTGTGGGGCTGCTGTTCACAGGGCTGGGACAGTTCTGGAAGATGAAACCTGAACAACTGCCTCCTCCACACCAAACGACAGTGCTGGCTCACCCCGGCTGCCTCTGTCTCGGAGACCCTATGGTTAAAAAGCAAAGAGCAGTGTTTACAACATGATGAAGCTTGACAACATTGTGCTAAAAGCAGCCAAAGACAAAAGGCAACATACTGTATGTTCCACTTATACAGAATGTCCAAAATAGGCAAACTGAAAGGAGGCTGGTGTTTATCAGGGCGGGGAGGGGGGAGTGTGTGTGACTGCAAATGGGTCTGGGGGTCCTGTCTTTTGGCACGATGAAAACCTTCTGGAACTAGACGTCTGCACGTTTTGCATGTACTTAATGCTACATACTCTTTAAAATGGTCAAACTGGTCAATTTCGTGTGTGTTTTACCACAATAAAAAGTTTCACCTGAAGGAAGGTTAGGGCAAAAACATGCTTTATGGGGGAGCCGGCAGCTGTACAGATCTGACCATGCAGTGGCTCTTGGGGCTGCAGTGTGTTCTGCTGCCACTTCAGTCGCTTCCTCTGTAAGGAAAGTGAGGCTCAACCTTCATCCCGTTGAGGATCCCTGAGAATCTGGTAGGAGATGGAAGATGCACACCCCTCCACACACAATGTGCAGTTCCCAGCGCTCACAAACACCCTAACCCACCCCTCGAACCAGAGGGGACCCCCCCCTTCCATCGCGTCATGCAGGGAGGACACTTCAGCTCATCCTGAGCACAGGCCTGGCACACTATGAACCATGGCAGCACAGTTTATGAGCTGTCTGAAACGAAGCAGTCACAGCCGAAAGCGTGAGGCTGTATTTCACAAAGTACTTCTCCGGAAGAACCTTATATTCAATATTCTACTCAAACCCTAGCACAGCTGCATTTTCAGTGGCGCTTCTTCTGCCCCTCCTATTACAAACTATAAAAATGGCCAGAGCAGTTAAGGGACACGGCCTGATCTCCTCTTGAAGACTCACCACAGGACCTGCTCTCACACTTTGGATGGCACCAGGGTGTGCCACATCCGTCTGCCATGCCTTCCTCTCCAGTTCCCAGGCTCTCCATGCACTGAGAGCTCCCATTCTTCCTTTACAGACATGTCTCCCCCAGTGCAATGTATACTTAGATACACCAGAGGGATTGTACTTGGGGAAAATACAAAATAGTAATTATACAGATGTGAAGGATGCCTCCTATTCCCCTACCTAAAGTTCAGGCTCAAGTGTTAGATGAGTGAGCTTGAAACCAATAGGGCAGCCCTATACCACACAGGCAAGGGGTATCCAGGCCCACGAGACAGTGGGCAGAACTTGCCTGACAGGGACCATAAAAACTGCTAAGGAACATTACTCTCTTCACCTCTGCTCCCCAGCGGGAACTCAACCGACAAGCCATCACCCGATGCGTGGCCAGGTGTCCTGCAGCCTTGGCTTCCACCTGGCCCTGCCACAGCATCCCTAGAGCCCACAACCCAATGAGATTCTCAAAACTGGGGGCTAGGTTTTGTAACATACAATTCTTTTCCCCTGAGGGGTACAGAATACAACAAAATTAGTCACTTTTATTTAAAAGAAACATTAAAAATAAGTGTGCAAAATTAAATTTCATGATTAAATACACATGAAAGGAACATGCATACTTTACACTGAAACCCACATACAAAGTTAGCTGATTACACGACAGTAAAAGAAATGGCAAAACAGAGAACTTGCTGCTGCAGATTTTAAATGTTTGCAACCTGAAATCAAAACCTTAAATTAGGTTTCTTTAAAGGGAAATTAAGGAAATCAAATAGTCCTCAAGTAGTACTAACACTGAGCCCATAACCTATTTTAGTTACCAAATGTTAAAAAAAGTTATGTGCCTTTCATCCTCAAAACGTTAGTGTGCAGCTCTCCTTACAAACACTGGGGAGAGAAAAAGGGGGTGAGACGGAGTGGAAGTGGCTCTGCTTTGTTGAGATGTCAAACTTTTCCCTCCATATCCTCTAAATTGAGATGCTTTCTTCTATGACTAATTTTTAAAGACTATGTGTTACTCTGTTCCCTGCACACAGAGAACTGTTTTCACCCGGGAAACTGTTTTCACCGGGAGTTTCACCAGGAGACCCCAGATGATGCACAGAGCGCCGACTCACAGGGTAGGCCTGCCGCTGGCCTCAGTCCCAACAGCTCCAGCAGAAAGACAGGACGCCAGCACGCACACGACCAAACCACAGGGCAACAGGCACAGAGGACCACGACGCGGGACTCACGAGGGAAATGCCCACCTGTGTTCTCTGACACAGCTGTCTCCTTTCTTCGTGTTCAGATGGGAGAAAATTCCTTCCTCCTTTTCTAAGGCAAGCTGCTGGTATTACTATTCTATTTAAATCTGGTTATAATGTAAGAACTAACATTAACACCTGTTCATCTCTCCACTACAGACTCAGTGAAAATGATGGAATCTGTTGCCAATGACAAATTTCGATTTGTCCACCCTCTTCTCAGCCCAGTCCCTAAGTTTGCACAGAGCCCCGACTAGGTGGGAGGAAGCAGTGAACCATTAAGGTAGCGTCACAGCTGAACTGTGGGTAACAAGCCAGCAGTCAGGCTCCAGCTGCTCAGAGCCACATGAGTGTCACGGTGCCTCCATGACTCTTTCTTTAACACTGGAAATGCAAGGCCTTGCTGAGGAAAACAGACAACCGCATATGGCTTCGAGACCAAGGTTCCCGGACGGTCCCTCCAGCCCATTACCCACAAGGCCCAAGGATGCTGGCACCAGCCCCAGGAGTTTGAGGGGCACACTCAGCACTCTGGGGCACTCGGCTGTGGGTGATGATTGCACTCCGGGTGAAGTCACAGCTTGTCGTCGGTCATTTCTAGAAACTGGGCGTAGACGTCCCGGATGCACTCCCCCTTGGGGTTGAACAGGAATTTGTAGTAGCTGCCGTCTGCACAGATTGCTGCGACAGAAGGAGACCATTTTACTCAAGTTTCTTCCCGCAAAGTGAAAAGCAAGAAGCTGAACTGCAAATGGCCTTGTGGAGCACGGAGTAGCTGGTGTGTGTGTGTAAGTTTGCAGATGGCCAGGGGCTCCCCTTCCTTACTGAGCACATACAAGGACAAGAGTACCTACTGTTCTGGGAGTGTTGGCGATAGGAAAAAACCCTCTTTGGTCGTCACTTCAAAAACTAACTGATCTGCTCCCAGGCTTTCCTGGGAAACCCCGGAGGGCAGGGAGCTGGTAACATCCCACATGGCTGTGCAGACCCAGAGTGCGAAGCACGGTGCCCTCAGCAGAGCTGGGTTAGCACAGCCGACACTGGTGTTGGGGGTGGCTCGTCATTCTTGTCTGGAAGGACCACTTACCAATGACAGCGTTTGGCTCTGTTCCAAAGGCACAAATGCATGGAGAGCCTGAGGGAACCTGAAACTTGGAAAAACTCCACTTGGAACTGAAGTATTTTGGAAGGAAACTGGCTGAAGCCAAACTATGAGGACAAGGAAGGAAAGGAAAGAAGTTACGTTCACATAACAAAGGTATAGCTCTCCTTATCAGTCTTAGCCTTAGTAACTCAAATTCTATTTTTGCTTTAATTTTTTTTTCTCATAAAAAAATAAGTCCTTACAAATGGCCTTATAATAAGCCCAGAAACCATCAGCATCAGAAGGGGCACAGGTTTCTACTGTCACTAAATTAATTTTCTGAACACAGTGAACACAAACACAGCCATGGGCGTTCAGGACCAAGGTGCCTGGATCCCCAGCAGACATTTTCTGCGGGGCAAACAACAGGAAGTAACGATGCCGCTGTTTTAGTATCAAATAGTCTGCAATGGTTTTCAAAGAATCAAAGCAACCACCACGAAGACCCTGTGACCTAACACTGAATTTGCCCACAACATAGCAATGGCGAGTCCCTTTCGCTCTGGGAAACCTACCTAGACTGTTTATTCCTTTTTGGATCTTCAGCAGCAAAAATGTGCACTGTGCCGTGGTCACTGGACACACAGATGAGGGACGCGTCCTGATTGAAGTTGATACTGGAGAGAAACCGGAGAACGCTTGGGTTTCGTGTGGCTGCGGAGGAGCCCAGGCCCAACCAAAGCAACAATCCCGTTGAACTGATAGCTTCTCATACTTAAGACCGCAATTTTAGAACTGCCCCTCCTTGAACAAGCCCACAGCCTTCACCAGGGAATCAGGGGGTCAAAACCACAGCATGACCCAGCATGTCACCGCAGGTCCAGGGACAGGAAAGGGCTTCTTGTAGACCGACTGCAGCTCCAGGGGCTCTGATACTGCCCCCACATGTCACTCAGGTGAGAAAAACTCCACCTCTCTGACCGCCCTGCCCCCTGGAAGCAAAGGCTGCCCCTTTGGAGGTGGGCATCAGCTGGGCTGGGAGGCACCAGCTCTGCCGGAGGGGCCCTAAGAGCAGACAGACAAGAGAGCATGCTGCACACCACAGGTCCCCAAGTCACACTAATTTACATATGAATTATGTTTTTAACTCCCAGACCCAAGTGCTGCTCAACACCTACAAAAGCCACAGAGCAAAGAATAAAATCCTGCCCGTCCAGGGGTCCAGCCACCTCAGTGCTGCAGACACCAGGGGTGTGTTAACAACTGCGATGGAGAAAGTGGCTCAGACTCCCAGAGGAGGCTCAAGCAATTACAGATGAGCCAACAAGGTCTCTAATGTTTGCCTCAAAATATCACAGAAAAAAAAGCTGGAGGGAAAGTGAAGAGGTAAAATAAAACTCGCCAATATTGATAAATGCTGAAGCAGCGTGATGGGTTAATGGTAATTATAGTATTCTTTCTAGTTTTGTTCCCATAAAAAATGTTGGTGAGAATAAAATTAGCTGAAACTCGACCCCCTCCCCCAACACAGCACAGACACCTCCTGCCTGACAACCAGAGGTCTTGACTGCCCCCCCAAATCACACAGGGCCCATTTCAATGTATCAGCCCAAAGCAATGGCCCTGTTTAGGGTGAATCAGTGGTCATCCTTACCAATAAATATTAGCTGCTTGAGACCCTCTTCGTAGCTCCTGGATCAAATGCCCTGATGAGGTATCAAATACTCTGATAAGGGTCCCCTTTGAAAAACAGTGAAGTGTTTCATTATCAAAGATTCACGACATTTTAGTTTTTTTTCAGTGATTTATATTCACAAACTCACTAGCCCCTACAACCCTTCTCCCAAACTCCCCAGGTCATCTAAAACCCAACATCCCTCTCTATCGTTCCCAAGAGTGGGCTGGTGGCTCTTTAGTCTGACAGCTCTGGGCAGGGGTCAGAGAGAGTGAGGGAGACTTGGGACCCTCGACTAACCCTGGGTATCTGCTCCCCTGGCAGACACCCAAGAGAACACCTAGGCCAGACTGACTATCCCTTGAGTGCGGTCAGCTCATCGTCTAAAGAAATGGCACCAACTGTAGCTCCTACAGCCAGTTAGAAAAAGGAATGTTGCAGTTCTGCTGCCCAAAGATGAGGCACGACCAGGTCCCATGACTTCTGGACCAGCTATGTCAACTAACACTCGTGGAGCCCATCCAGGAAGTCGTAAGGGGTGGGAAGGCAGCTCCCGGAGGAACACGACCTCGACGAGGGCAGAGACACACACTTACTTTTTCAGATGCGGTTGCAATTCTTGTTCCCTGCAGGTTGAGAGCAATGCAGCTCAGAACGCCCTCGTGGGCAGGAATGTCCACAGGCGGCTTCTCGGTGCTGGCCAGGTCCACGAGCTGCACATGGCCCGTGTGTGTGCCAGGGAAGGCCAGGAGAGAGTTGTTACTGTTTGGGCACAGGACACAGAGGCCTAAACAGGAACAGAGAAAACCTGTCAAGGATTCACAACCACCTTCAAAGCCTCTGCTTTCCCATGTGCAGAGCCTTGTCCAAACTGCTCTCTGTTTTCGTTTCCAAGGAAAAAATAGTAAGAATTATTTGGGTTTCCGTTTATATCAGAATCACAAAAAGGGTATCAGAGGGTCAGGCAAAGCAAACTCCCATGAGACTGTCTCATAATTGGAAACATTTGCTGAACTTTATTAAATTTCTGTCTTCTGTGGTACCAGGCACTGAGAATGAAAAATTGTAAAATCTGAAAACTGCTCCATTAACAATAGCAAAAGAAAAAATACTTAAGAATAAATTCAACGATAGATTGTAAGTCCTAGTAACACGCTGCAAAGGAAAACCAAAGGTTGTGGACTAGAATCTACATTTGCCCATCATCAGCACAATCACAGGGAGTCTCCACAGGCTTTTCTGAAGAAAAGGACAAGCTGATACGAAAATTGTTTTTTGTAAAATAAGGACAAGACTGGAGGACTTACACTATCTAATTGCAATTTTTTTTTTTTTTTTTTAATATATTGATTTCAGAGCGAGGAAAGGAGACGGAGAGAGAGACAGAAACATCAATGATGAAAGAGTCATTGATCAAGCCCACAACTGGGCATGTGCCCTGACCGGGAATCGAACCCTGATC